ACATGCACTCATGGAATAGATAGATAGCCTTCTGGGGCCAGCAGGTGGTGTGCTGGATAGGACCCTGGACTCCCACATGACTGACTGTGGCTTGACCTGGTGACTTGCTTTCTCACTTTCCCTCTCTCATTCCATCTCTCTCTGGTGAGTGCACCTGCCTGGTAGGAAATTAAAAATCATAATGATGATAAATAAAATTAAGTAAATATATATTTTTTAAAATAGCCTTTTAAAAAAAAAGCGAAAGGATGGGATACTTTCCAACTCAGTTTAAGAGATTAACATTGCCTGATATAAAATGAGAACGAGGCGTTAGAAGGAAAGAAACTACAATGTCATTTGTGAACATAAATATAAAACTTCTGAATGAAATTTTAGCAAATGGAAGCTAACAAAATATAAAATGGATCATTCATTATGATAAACTAGTGTTTATCCCATGAATATATGACTGATTTAACATTTGAAAGTAAATCAGTGTAACTCCCCAAAATAACACATTTAAGAAAACCCCTGAAACACAATTCTGTGTGATCATCTTAATAGGTATAGAAAAACCACTGCACAAAACCCAGTATTCATTTCTGATAAAAGCCCTCAGCGGGAATAGATGGGATAGATGGAAACTCCCTTGACCTGATAAAGGGCAGTTACGAAAACCTCACAGCTAATTTCAGTCTTAATGGTAAAAGACTGAATATGTTCTTCCTTCGATCCGAAGCAAGATGAGGATGCCTCTTTCTGGCTTGACCTGGTGACTTGCTTTCTCACTTTCCCTCTCTCATTCCATCTCTCTCTGGTGAGTGCACCTGCCTGGTAGGAAATTAAAAATCATAATGATGATAAATAAAATTAAGTAAATATATATTTTTTAAAATAGCCTTTTAAAAAAAAAGCGAAAGGATGGGATACTTTCCAACTCAGTTTAAGAGATTAACATTGCCTGATATAAAATGAGAACGAGGCGTTAGAAGGAAAGAAACTACAATGTCATTTGTGAACATAAATATAAAACTTCTGAATGAAATTTTAGCAAATGGAAGCTAACAAAATATAAAATGGATCATTCATTATGATAAACTAGTGTTTATCCCATGAATATATGACTGATTTAACATTTGAAAGTAAATCAGTGTAACTCCCCAAAATAACACATTTAAGAAAACCCCTGAAACACAATTCTGTGTGATCATCTTAATAGGTATAGAAAAACCACTGCACAAAACCCAGTATTCATTTCTGATAAAAGCCCTCAGCGGGAATAGATGGGATAGATGGAAACTCCCTTGACCTGATAAAGGGCAGTTACGAAAACCTCACAGCTAATTTCAGTCTTAATGGTAAAAGACTGAATATGTTCTTCCTTCGATCCGAAGCAAGATGAGGATGCCTCTTTCTGCTTCTATTCAACATTATATTGAAAATTCTAGCTAGCATGGTAGGCAAGGGGCAAAGAAAGGTACCCAGATTGGAAAAAAATGAAGTATAAATGACTTTCTTTGCAAGCAATATCATCTGTAGAAAATCTGATGGAATATACAGGAAACCTACATGAGCTAAGAAATGTTAAGTGAGTTATAGACTACAACACCAACATACACAATATCTTGCATAACTATATGTACGATAGAAATTGAAACGGCGTCAGCAGTTAGCCTGCTGGTTAAGGTACTAGGATTCCCACATGGTGAAGTGCAACTCGAGTCCTAGGCCCAATGGCTTGAAAATCACTCCAAGCATGTGTGTACATGCCTAAAATCCAAGAAGAGAATGGAGGAGAAGGGGTTTCAGTGTGAGCATCTTTTCTGAGGGGGTGACTTCTCACTTTACCTCTCTCTGTCTCTGGTGAGTATACACACCCTGTAGCAAAAACCTTAAAAAAAAGAAATTGACATAAGAATATCTGTATAATATCAAATATCATAAAAATATGAAACACTAAAGAATAAATATGGCCAAAGATGAGAAAGACGTGTGTACTGAAAACTGCAAACCATGGCTGAGATAAAACTAAGTGGAGATTTATAATTAGCTCACACATCATTCATAACATCATTGTCAGTTTCACAAATTGATCTCAAGTTTTAAGACAATCACAAAAACAAATCCCAGTAGTGATATTTGAAAAAGTTGATAAAATGATTCTAAAGTTCACACAGAAATGCAAAGAACCACAGAATAAGCAATTAAATAATAAGAAGATAAATAAAAATGAAAACAGAAAGGAGAGCAAAGTTGGAGGTCCTACACTATTTAGGGTTTCAAGGCAGTATGGTGCTGGCATAAATATAGACAAATTGGAAAAACAGAACAAGATGGAGAGGTCAGAACCCACAACCCCCGCCACTCACACACATATGGACAAATACTTTTTGGCAAAAATACGAAGGCAGTCCAGTGGAAAAGGGAGGCACTTTTCTATAAGGGGTGCTGGAATGATTGGATATCTATTTACAAAAGCATGATCCATAATGCAGGATCAAAATGGGTCAGAGTGTTAAATGTAAAAATCGAAAACTGTACATTTTAGAAGAATATATGAGAGAAAAACTTTGTGTCCTTGGGTTAGAGCAAGCAAAGATTTCTTAGTTGTGAAACCAAAAGGTTAGTCTCCAAAAGGGCAAATTGATAAATTGGACTTTATCAAATTAAAATTTCTTTATTTAAAAGTGAATAAGGAGACATAACAGACTAGGAGCATTTATTTACAAATAATACATCTGGTAAAGGAATATATACAGAATGTAAAAAGAACCTCAAAATTTAAAAATGTGGGAATAACTCAAGAGAAACTGGCAAAACTTAAACAGACCTTTCACCAAAGTGGATATATGGAAGGCAAGTTATAAACAAATGCTAAGCATCATTAATCAGTAATTAGGAAAAGGCAATTTAAAACCATAATGTAGTGGGATGAACAAATACTGTGATGGTTTAGATGCTGGACTCCCACATGACCAACTGCAGTTTGAGTTCTGGACTCAGTGACTTGAAAATCAGGCCCGACACGTGTGTGTGCATGCCCAAAATCCTGAGAGAAGAATGAAGGAGAAGGGATTAGAGTGTGCCTATACCCCCTGAAGGGTGATTTCTCACTTTCTCTCCATCTCTTTCTCTCTCGGATGAGCACATGCGCCCTATGGCAAAATATATATATATATATTTAAATCCATAATGTCATAACACTCCATTACTTGTTAATATTGAAAGACTGATCCTGAGAAGTGGGAAGAAACTAAAATTTATACATTGATGACAGGAATATAAAGTACTACAACCGCCATGAAAAGCATCTTGATAGTTTTAAAAATTGTTAAATGTACATCTACCAGGAACCAGCAGATGGCATGATGGTTATGTCACTGGACTCCCATGTAGTCGACTATGGTTTGAGTTCTGGACCTGGTGGCTTGAAACTCATGCTGGGTGTGTGTACGTGTGTGCCCAAAATCCCAAGAGGAAACTAGAGGAGAAGAGATTGTGGTGTGGCCACCCCCTTGTTTTCTGTCAATCTCTGTCTCTCTGGTGAGCACATGCTCCGTATTGCAAAAACCTCTCGAAAAACAAAAACAAAAACACCATACATCTAACATATGATTCATCCAGTCTACTCCTAAGTTTTTGCCAAGAGAAAAGAATCAGGCTAAATGAAGAATGAGTTATGGAAGAAAGGATGATACTGAAAGCCACGAGCCTAAGTGCAGGATCCATTTAAGAGATGAGTACAGCTTTGAGTCAGATGATAGCTAGGTGAATGGAAGAAATGGACTGTTATAGGACAGTACATACATGTAAAGGGAGTTTATCTCCATAGCGAACCCTGTAACTGTATTTGGGAGAGTATGCAGAAAAGTGAGAACTTCGTCATCTCGGTGTAGGATTTGCAAGTATTCTTCCACTCTAAGGAAAGGTGTACAGATGAAGCCATATGGTGCTTTGGAGGATTATGGATATTTCAGTTCCGATGAAGTACAGAGTTGAGAAAGGTGAGAAGTGGAAAGGTTTGAAATGTAGAACTGAACCCAATTGTGAAGCGTTCTACTTGTCACTAAAGGATTTATGACTTTTAAGTCAAGGTGAAGAACCATTGAATAGTTTTATCAGTGAAGTTACCTAGTTGATTTTTGGAGGAGATTAATCTAAAGCTGTCTGTGAAATGGTTTGAAATTTGGAAGATGTTTAAGGTAGGGAGACTAGACACAGAAAGTCAGTGAACTTAACTTGGAACTGTTGAAATTAGGGATGGAGAGATGATTGATGCAAAAGGAATTGTGTCTTGAACCTGTTGACTGACACTGACTGATGGGTAGATGAGGAGAGTCTTCAGAGTTGGGCAAATGGCAGGAGGCAGGGTACTTGTAACACTATCTGAAATCCAGTAATTTTGTGCATGTGTAAGGGCCTTGACTTTCCACTAAATTATTTGTTTGATTTTGGAACTCAAACCGTGGAGGACTACGTGACAGTCCAACAACGTAAACATTACGCCATCTGCTGGTCCCAACACCTGGCATGTTTTAAGTTGCCAGGTCCAGGACTCGAACTGCAGATGACTACGTGGGAGTGTAGCAAGATAACCATTACCCCATCTGCTGGTCCCAATTTCTGAATGTATTTTTAAAAGAGATATTTACAGTGTTCTCAAATGTAGGCAGAGCATGAAGAATCTGAAGGTCGAAGGTAATACTTTTTTTTCCCCAAAGATAGAAAACTGAGCCCAGAAAAGCGTCCAGTTCCTTTTTTCTCCTAAATTGAACTTCTTATGAAGCCACCCTGTGTGTCAGAAATGAGCAGTACAGGTGTTATTTTCTCTTGCCATGCTGTCTACCTCCTACAGAGCCAAACTGGATTGTTGTGGTTTTCTTTATTTTGTGCTAAAAGCTTTGTTGTGTGGTTGCAGTGTAAGGCAGGAAATAGGTTAAGTATATTAGTGTATGTGTTTCATGTGTAAAACGAGTAAAGGGCTTTTCCTTCTTAGTTCCTGATCATGTCTTCCTTACCTTTCCTGAGTGCCAGGGTTCTGGTGGTGGAGGTCCCGCCTTATTATTGCATCACAGTGGTAAGAACTAGACGATTTATATTTGATACTTTGAAAACATTTACTGGTTTCCTAGGAAACAATGCCTTGAGTACTGTATAAGCAAACTATAACATAGATACTAGTCCTACAATTTCTCAGCAGAAAGAAAGCTTCTGGATTTTAAAACAGAAATTAAAATGTAGGTTGTTGGAATAGTATATGCTGCCTTTTCTAGGCAACAAAGGAGAAGGAAAAAACCACAACCTCAAAATAGATCCTTCCACTAAAAATAAGTATTATATATAATAAAGATCTTGTCAGATTCTATCATCCTTGTGAATTTCTGAATCCAAATTTCCTTTTTATTTATTTTTTGGCTTTTCATTAGTTTTATAAGTGCATTTGCCAGAGATGTTGCTAGTTAAAAATGTATAAAAATGTTGTGACATTATGAGGCTTGAACCAGATCTGGATGTATCATGGAAATAGATTTGATGATTAAAGTGCCAGACCATTTTGGTTTGTTCGGATATTTAATTTTCATTGCATATTGGGAAAATTGGAATGGGATGGAATTAGAGCACTAAATGCAGTATTTCACATTTGCAGTCTTCTTTAGTTAGTTCTTAAATATATTTACCTCCATAATCACGAGTTTGGTGTCAATCAGAAAAGTTTTACTCTTCTAAATTCATATGAATACCATACTAGCTTTACATGGTATGTGGATTGATTCTTGGAATCTCTCTCTCTCTTTTCTCTCTCTCTACATACACACACACACACACACACACACACACACACCACATCAGGTTGTATTAGGCAGAAACTGGAATAAAATCTTGAAAAAGCTCTACGGGCTTCAACTTGGCAGCAGGAGAGCTTAATTTTGATTCAGTAGCTACCAAAATCCCACATTAATCGACAACATGGAACAATAATTTTTACACCTCCGTGCCAACTTCTCATTTTTTTCTCATAAACTACCAGACACCCATAGGCTTTGTTTTTTGTAATTTAAACTGTGATATTCAGGAAAATATGGTGGAAGGAGCATTTGGTTTTGCAGCAGAACAGACATGGATAATGATTGAGTCACTAGTGAGGGACTTACTGAGAGGTTAGGTGACTAACCCAAAGATGCACAACTAGTCAGTAGCACAGTTTTCATCATTTTTCAGGTGACGTCCCATTATATTGTTATGCCTTTCTGATCTTTCAAAGCTTCTTAACTGAGCATGAGGATGGTAGTGTATTGAGCAGGGTGTCATCTGTGAATAGCTATTATCCCAACCAGGAAACCAAACAGAGCTATTTCTCCTTTTCTTTCCTTCCAACTTCCTTGCTTCTCCCTCAGTATGATTTGCCTCTCACAGAGAAGAAACATTATCAAGTAAAGTTGTTAGTTAAGGGCCAGCAGGTGTCATAGTGATTAAGGTCCTGAACCCCCACATGGTGGACTGTGGTTCGAGTCCTGGACCCAGAGGCTTGAAAATCACACTGGGTGTGTACACATGATGCCCAAAATCCCAGGAGGAGAATGGAGAAGGGATTGTGGTTGGGTCATTTCTCACTTTCCCTTTCACCGTCTCTGGCAAGCACACACATTCTATGAAAAAAACTAAAAAACAAAAAAAAGCTATTAGTTAAACTTTCCTTTATTTGTATTTATACATGCATTGAGACCAATGAGTTTTTATAAGGGAAATCCTATTTCAAATACCAAACAATTAAAATTTGAAATTTGCATAGTCAAATTACATTAGCATGTTAGAAGTAGAAACTGTTTTAAGCATAAACCAGCCCCAGCAGTAGGACTATTTTGAACATTCTATTTCAGAAATCTAAAAAAAGAAGAAAAAAACTGAAAGCCTCAATAAAAAATAAGTCATTTTTGCCAAACATAACTCGACTCCATTGAAAGTAGCTATTTCTGTAGTAGCAGTTGGCTTTGCACCTATGAGCTTCACACTCAGAACCTGAGATGCATTTAGAAAAAGGGGATTTCTAGTAGAGAACTTCTGAAAAAGTCTGTCTATAAATATATAAATATATATTTTTTAGTCTCTCTCTCTCTATACACACACACACACACACACACACACGCACACACACACACGCGCACATGCATCCAGAGTGGATCATTTTAACTAAAACTATATCTCCTCCCAGACTCATACTTATAGTTTAATTAATTGATTTTCTTTGCCCAGAACAGTGTAAAATTTAGTATCTTTCAGTATGTGGCTTTGCCTCATTTATTCAGCTCTATTTCCTGCTGTTGTTCAACATGAAGATTGTACTCCAATCAGACTTCCTTTTACTCTCTATTACTCCTATGCAGTACGATTTAGGTTAGATATGTGAAAGGACATACTGAAATGAAAGGCTGGGAGATGGTGGAAACTTTTTATCGAGCTTTTTAAGATTCAGGGAGATGGTTTGTGTTTGCTTGTTTGTTTTTTATCCTGCAGTAAACACTAGGAAGAGTCTCACTCATTTTTTTCCCCTCCTTTTTTGGGGTATGTTTCCCAATGCTGTGATTTCCTAAAGAAAGGTAGTCAACAATGTGTTAGCTCTGTTGATTGACTGGTTACTACTCATGAATGTGTTTGTCTTTCTGTCTCTCTATTTTGGGAAAGGGGTTTGAGGAGACAAGGAGGAGAAAGATGGAAAGAAGAATGTACAATAAATGACCTGCTTCCTTTTCTAGTATTTCTTTTATTTTTTTTGGGGGGGGTGGGGTTTGTTATAGGGTGCGGGCGCTCACCAGAAAAAAAAAAAAGAGAGAGAGACAGAGAGACAGAAAGAGAGAAATCACCCCCTCCAGGGGGGATGATCACACCACAATCCCTTCTCCTCTATTCTCTTCTCTGGGTCTTGGGCATGCGCGCACATGCATCCAGAGTGAGTTTAAGCCACCGGGTCCAGGATTCGAACCATGGTCAACTACATGGGAGTCCAGTGACTTAGTCATTACACTAACTGACGATCTCTTTTCTAGTATTTCTTTGAGGCTACCCAAAAACATTTAAAAGGAACTAGAAGCAATTCAACAGATAATACCAATTAAGATGGTAAAACTAATATTCTAGGTGGCCATTAAATCTGTGTTTTGATTGTCCTGAGAGGAGTGAAAAGTCAAATGTTTTTAGTTTTTGTTTATTCTCTGACTGATCTACCCTTCAAACTGGACAGTAGCCAAATAGGACATTAGATAAAACATACACTGGAACATTTTATTGGTTTCCATTAATTACTTGGAACCCAGGTTGATGGGCAGTTAAATTAAGCATTTCTTAATTTTTATTTTTTTATTTTCTTTTCAGCGTGATTTTGTTATAGGGCACGTGCTCTCACCAGAGAGACAGAGAGATAGAAAGCAAGAAATCACCCCCCAAGGGGATGGCCACACCACAGTCTCTTCTCCTCCATTCTCCTCTTGGGATTTTGGGCATGCATGCACACATGCCTGTCGTGAGTTTTAAGCCACTGGGTCTGGGACTTGAAGCGCAGACTTCATGGGAGTGCAGAGATGTAATCATTATACCATATGCTGGTCCTGCTTTTTTATTTTTTTTTCTTTTAAGATTTTTGCCATAGGACGCATGCATTTGCCAGAGAGAGAGACAGAGAGAGACAGAGGAGACAGACAGAAAGTAAGAAATCACCTCCCAGAGGGGACCCCATGCTGAAGTAACTTTTCTTTTTTCCGCTTAGGATTTTGGGCACATACACACTCACAACCTGCATGATTTTCAAGCTGCCAAGTCCAGGACTCAAATATTGGTCTGCTATGTGTGAATCCAGTGCCTTAAGCACCATGCCACCTGTTGGCTCCTTAAATGCAGAATTTTAAGGATTTACCAATAAAATGGTATTTTCTTCTGAAAACTATGCTTATTACTGCTGGATTAGTGGAAACTAAAACTTAAATAGTTTGATTAATTCAGTAATTATGATATACAGTTAGTTGTTGTTTGGTGCTGGGGATATATACTGAGAAATGTGTCTTTAGCTGATTTTGTTGTTACATGAACGTCATAGAGAATGCTTACACAAAACTCAATGGTATAACCTACTACACACCTAGGCTATACTGTGTAGCTTTTATAGTCTTATAGGACCACAACTGAATATACAGTCTTTCATTGAATGAAATGCCATTATGGAACAAACTCTACAATGTGCAATGGACAGAGAAGCACAAATATAAAAAAGTAGAGATGTTATAATAAATATTAACTTAAAACTATAAAAAGCAGAGAGTGAGAGTGCTAATTGGCAACCTTGTTCTTTCTAGACAAAATTGGAAGGAATGGCGTGTAGGTGCCAGATCCCAGTAACTCAATGTAGGGGGTGATGTGTAATAATAATGATGAAGAGCTACCAAAATTTTCTTTTAAGAATTGTAATCATGCCGGGATCAGCAGTTGGCGTAATGGATATGTCGCTGGACTCCCATGTAGTTGACCGCAGTTTGAGTCCCAGACCCAGTGGCTTAAACTCATGCCAGGCTCATGTACATGCGTGCCCAAGATCCTGAGAGCAGAATGGAGAAGAAAGGATTGCGAATGGAATTAAATAACAAACGTAAGGCCAATTCGTGTGTGAATCAATATGTGCTATTCACAACAGATAGGCAGGGCAGAGAGGTGCTCTATCCCTCTGAATTATTTAAGATGTATATTCGCTACTTCTTGCAACCAGAGGCCACTGGGATGATCTTCACTTCACTCAGAAAGAGTAGAATGCAGTTATAACCCCTTCAAAGAACTGGAACTCTTCAGTCCCTTAAGTCTTGGCTTGTTGGACCTATGTATAGGAACGAAGGTCATGGACTTGTCCTAAAAGGACATTCCATTGAGTTTGGAATAAATAGCATTCATGCATCAATGAAGATTAAAGCCATTTGAAAATAACATACAAGGAGGTGAATGTGAATATGATACAGAATACTAAAAAGCTAAAGGTGAGAGAGTACACAATGAAAGATGCATGAAGAAATAC